GAAAAAGAAGAATTGTGTTGCTTAATGTCTATGCAATTGTTGGACAGATGAACGCAATCGCCGAGAGAGATTTGCTGTTGCCCAACAGATTGCTGAAGATGACAGAACTTGTGAGGAGCGAAAAAAGAGAATAGAAAATGAAAAAGAAGAATTCTTGAAGCAGTCAGATGGAGGGGACAATTCTGGGGCCCAAACTGGAGGTGAGAATCACAAGTTTTGTCAAAGGAATGGGGGATTGAATTCAAGTAGAGGAGGTAGTATAGAAAAAGGTCTTAGTGGAAATTTTTGACATGTGTAGTTCTTAGTCTACTGAAATTAAGGAAATTACAAATGATTTACTTTAAGAAACTTAGCATCCTGCAAACTACTAATATTTGACCTTGTGTAAAATCAGGAGAGGCTTTTGAACATACATTAGGAGCCAAAATTATTGTACTTGACAGTTTCAGGTACCAATATCACCAAATTCATACTTAGTATGATTCATTATAGTTTCCATAATGAGAAGGGGAAGACACATACTTATTATACATTGTCATCTATTTCAGTTCAAGAAGTAGTAGTGAAGCCTGATCTGCGTCGAAGGCTAAGCAGCACTTGCTCAGAGGAAGGGTCTTGTGTGGTGCGAGAAGTGGATTATGATGGGGATGGCGAAGACAGTCTGTATTACTCTTCCACAGAAAACCTTCATGTTATGGTGAGTAGTATGGTATGACCTGTTAAATTTTTTTTTTTCCTGTTGTGTTAGGGCTCCAGTTTTAAAGTGTATGTATAATGGAAGTGTAGACTTGAAAAATCACGTGATTTGCTCATATGTATGTGTAAATTTATCTGTAGCAATCAGTCAGTCTACATGTTTATAAGATATCTATTCACCTAGAATATAGATTGTTAGATATTGATTAAACATATCTTATTTTTTACCATTTTAGCAAAGCAGAGCCAAAGTGGAAAAGGTGGAGAACACAAACAGGAAGCAGCGCAAGTCTAGTTCACTTCGGAATGCTGCATCCAAGGAAAAAGAAGGGAAAAAGGTGGCTCTGCCAGCTGTTAGACAGAGTAGCAGCATTAAAGTGAAATTCACACCCCGTGTCTTCCCAACTCCAAAGAGAGAGTCCTGCGAGAAAGAGGAGCAAGATGTAAGCAGGGAATAGTTTCATGATTAATAATAAGAAAATATTAAATAAAGTTGTCTCATTATCTGACAATTAGGAAATCCCTGAACATAATTATATTATGGGAATATTAACCTTATGATCTGAACATTTCATGTATTTGAACAAGTTGGATAATCATATTTAAAGAAAGAAACGAAAGCATACCTACATTAACACAAAATTATAGCAATGCATGCATGGATAACTTATTGACTTTTCTTACATTTAAGGGGACATTTATTGTTTTGTCTTTTCAGTGGCTTGCTGCTCAGTCAGGTTGTCGCTCTAAGAGCCCTAAAGACATCACTGAGGAGAATAGTGCAGAGTACTATAAGGAGAAGGCTATGTATGTTTCCCCTGATTATATTTTTGTTAACTTTATTGTTGTTTTTGATTTTGTGAGATTGCAAGATAGAGAAAGTTAGAATGAACAACTAAATGAAGCATAATACTAAATGGAAGACTAAGTGGAGGATTGAGGCTTACCGTGTGTGAGTTATAGCAAATATGAGAATGCCATTTAATGTAAAAGTGTAGTAAGTTTGAAATGAATCCATAAAGACGGCAAAAAAATTACAGGACAGTATTTAATTTTTTATATTGCTTTTGTACAAAAAAAAATTAAAAGGGGAAGAAAAGAAAGAAGACTAAATCCTTATTCTTTCAGCTCTTTATTCAGTAACAAGGACTTCAGAGGCTGTGTCAATGCTTACACAGAGGCATTGAAGTTATGTCCACAGGAAGCTTCGTTTTACAGCAACAGAGCAGCTGCAAATCTGGCCCTGAACAACCTTCATCATGCTATTAATGATTGTTCAAAAGTATGTGTAAAGACAGTTTTTGACTTTGTCCTATAAAAGGATACAAAATTGAAAATAAGAAGTTTCCGAATTTCTCGTCCCTCTGTTTGGATAGATGTTATCTTTCTTGTGTTTGACTTTTAAAAATATTTTTATTATATTTTGGTTAATATAAATTTAAATAGGGTAAGTGGATCATTAAATTGGAGGAACTATTCCAATGTTTCAGGCCTTGGAGTTGCTCACCCCTCCAACTCAGGAAAACAGCAAATCTCGTCTCTTGTGCCACATCCGACGTGGCACAGCATTTGTCCATCTTCGCCTTTTGTCAGAAGGACTTGCAGACTACCAGGCAGCACACCAGCTCAATCCCAAGGATGAATCTCTGAAGAAAGACATGGAGAGGATCCAAGCCATACTTATGACTTCCACAGACACTGCAGACTCATCAGATGAAGATAGTGATGATGATTTTAAAAGCAGTGGTGAAAGCAGTCCTCCATCAAACTCATAACTAAATTTACGTTTGCATCTTTTCTTTTG